CCACCCACTTGTCCTCCATTGTCACCCTTGCTGCAGTTTGTGATCAAAAGCTTTCCTGTGGGGGCTGGAGAGATGGCTCACAGGTTAAGACCACTGGCTATTCTTCCAGTGGTCCTGCGTTCAATTCTCAGCAACCACACGGTGGCTCACAACCATCTGTAATGAAACCTGGTGTCTTCTTATAAATAAATAAATCTTAAAAAAAAAAAAAAAACAGCTTTCCTGTGCCCACTTTATCTCTAGGAGAAAGATGTGCTCCCAGCAATGCCTGAGACAACTGGAAAGCTCAAGCTTATTTATCATACCAGAATAGACCAAGTTCTCTTCTCACTGTTTACAGAACATATGGAAGGTTCTGTCTGTGAAGGAAGAAGCTGTCAAACAGCATCTCTCCACTTTAATAGCCATACAATTGGTGGCTATCCTGATCCAACCCAGAACAAAGAAAAGCACTTATGTTCAAGGAGAACTCAAGAGTTAGTATTTTGGATGTCTACCATCTTTTCCTCTACTTTATGTCCTTCTGAATTGAGTCAACTCAAGGTTCACTAGTATCTTTGCTGAGAGAGAAGGGAAAATGTTGAAACTAAACTCTGTCATCACACCACCGTCAAGTGTAACAAGGGGGTTTGTGGAGGAAAAGAATAGAAATGCCCAGCTAAAGCAGCTTCATGGCTGAAATCAGACAAGCGGTTTCCCATCTTTGTCCTGTCTACCACTGTCAGCAGAGAGTGAATGGCTATCCCATCACCACAGGAGAGCAGCCTTCTCGGATGCATTGACACAATAGCAGCTCAGGGTTAATGAACACACAGCATAGGCAGCCGGCTCACGTATATGTATAGAAACATCATGGAGTCCTATGTTCCACTTGCAACTCCCCCACAGTATCAACTCAAGCTCTGTGATGGGCTGAACAGCATCTCCCTCAGATTCATACAGTTGAACACCGACTCTTTGAAGCTCACAGTGTGACTGCATCTGTGGAGGAACTGGAGATGTTTGGAAGAGTGGGCCCTGACCCAGGACGGCCGGCGCACTTAAAGCAGAGATGAGGCGACACATACAACAGAAACACAATGGGAAGCCCACAGAGGGAAGCACTCATTTTCTAGCCCCGAAGAGAGCTTCAGAAGCCCAATTCTCCACAGCCTGACCTTGGTCTTCTACTCCAGAAGTGTGAAGAAATAACTCTCTGCTTAAGTGACATGTGTGGCACTCTGGTATGGCAGTCTGTTATGGCTAGAACATGAATTACCACCTGCCCCCATAGGCCGACGAGTTAAGGCTTGGACCCCAGCTGGTGGTCCAACTTTGGTGAACAGTGGAACTTCATGGCAGCAGAAGAAGCAGGCTTCTAGGAGCTTCTATCCTGTCCTCGCCCCTTCCTGTCCCTTTCTGGGTTGCTCTGTAATGACACAAGCAACCTCTACCAAAAACCCCTTAGCCTGAGACTCAGAGCAACCTTGGACTAACATATTTGAAATTAGGAATGAGGGCTGGAGAGATGGCTCAGTGGTTAAGCACACTGGCTGCTCTTCCAGAGGTCCTAAGTTCAATTCCCAGTACCCACATGGAGGCTCACAACCATCTCTAGTGGGATCTGATACCCTCTTCTGGTATAAAGTCAATAGAGCACTCATATATATATATATATAAAATAAATATTTTAAAAAGTTAGGAATGAAATAAATATTTCCCCCTCTAAGTTGTATTTCTAAGGTATTTTGTTATATAAACAAGAAACAAAATTAAAATCTAGACTAATAGCCATAGAAAGCTAATGTAGGTCCTACTGTCTCTTTTGGAGATTAAAATACATTTTTTTTCTCTCTCTCTGTGTAGCCCTGGCCATCCTGGAACTCTGTAGACCAGGCTGGCCTCAAACTCCTAGATCCACCTGCCTCTTCCTCACAAGTGCTAGGATTAAAGGTGTGTGCCACCACCGCCCGGCAAAAATCAAATTCTTAAAAGCAATGGGAATCACTGAAGACTGCAGGTGTAAGAGTGCCACAATTCTATTTACAGTCAAAAACTCAACTTGCCTTCCTTTGGAAACCGGTTAGAACCTGCCAAACTGGCTGTGGACAAAGCAGCCATGAGGCTACCAATTTAGTTCAGGTAAGAAATGATGACTCCATCTAACGTCTGCAGTGAGAGAGAAAAACCGAGCCACTGTTCAGAGGTAGAGGAAACAGCCCCATGACCATCTGGGCAGGGGTCAGGAGGTCACAGAGGGATAGAAAGATGGAGAATGGCTGCCGGTTTGCTGGAAAGAGATGTTGGAGGGACAGACCTGAAATCAGCAACACAAAGGCTGGTTCAGGCGGTGGATCCAATGTATACTTCCAGACAAGGCTCAGGAAGGCAGAGATCACCCAGAAAATACCGAAGTAAGTCTGGAAAGGACAGCCAGGTAAGAGAAACAAACTCAGGAGTCACTGACACCAGACCAGACTGCCCGGGAAAAGAACACAGTACAAGAAACGGAGGTGCCCAGGCTCGGGATTTAGGGCAAGTACTCCTGGATAAAGAGCGAGTAGCCCCAGCTTTACACACCCTCCATACGTGCTATTTAGAAGTGTGTAGTGGCTATTTATCACATTATTAAATGAATCGGGAAGTTAGTATACAGACAGAAAAACTGGGTGGCTTGTTCTGAAATATGCCTTCCACCTTCCATTTTCCTGTACAATCCACTGATGCCACTAACTGTTAACTAGACAGATGGAGACTAAAAGATGTCCTCTCTCCCTCTCCTGCCTTCTACACGTAAGATTACAGCTAGAAATCCACTCAGGAAATTCATTATTTCTATTGTCTGGGCTAATCTTAGGTGTCAATATACCAAACTTAAACGTTTTATATTTGATATGAAAATATGGCAAAGTAAAAATGAAAGAACACAAATGGGTATTCTGCCAACGTCTTGAGAAAGATCACTTTTCTATTCCTCTTCATTTTTAATTTGTAAGCGTATCCAGCAGAACTTGGATAATGTTGCACGTACCCATTAGTAAATTCCCATGGAAATAGAATGTAGTAAGGTCTTCAGAACAATTTGACTGATGAAAGATGACACTAAGAATATCTTCTGCTTTCCCATTAGTGAGGAACACAAATACATTTTGAAAAGAGAAATGCACCAATTTTGTCACAAGTTATCTAAGCAGAAATAATAAAAATATCCCAGATAAGAATTACAATTTATATTGCTCAGCTTTCAAATCTAAATTGAATATCAAAATTAGAAATGCTACAATTATCCTTTCACTGAGAGGCACGAAGGCAGAATACTCCTGCAAGGGAAAGGCTACCAGCTCTCGTTCAGTTGGACCTAAAACACTTTGTTTGGTCTCTGGAGAGGTTTTCTTTTCGGGTGAGGAGCCTAGGCAGAGAGCACGTAAATAACATTCCATCCTACCAAACGAGTGCATTGAACAAACACCATTAGGCATCATTCACTTAGTAAATATCTCTGTGGATTATATGGCTATAACTATATGTAACTAGAGATAATTCTAAATATATTCCAGCATATTTACAATTAGTTGTTCACTGTCTTTATTAAGTATTAGTGTTCAAAAATGACCAATACAATGTCAGCTCTTAAAGACCAAATAAGCTATGACCTCTATCTACATGTCCAAGCCACTGGCCATTTCTCTCACCCACAGCGTCTGATCATTCAAAGACACTGAGCTACGTGTGTGTTATTGATGTGAGGCAGCCTCACCTCCTAAGACTTTTTTGTTTATTTGTTTTATGACTTAAGGATGCTAAAAAGTGTATCTGCATCAGCAAATGAGGCCTCTGAACTGAGGTAGTTAAATACAAAAATGTCAGTTAGAAAGTACTGTCAAGAAACCTGCTCCACAAAGACAGAAGGATGTTCACAAATGACAGAGATGAGGCCAGTCACCATTCTTGCTCTGTGTCACGGAGGCAGTAGATGGTTACAGACTTTGATTTCAACGTCAAGATGGTTCAGAGGGGGAAAAAATCCCCTTCCCATGAATATGCACAATCATTTCCACTTAACACAGAAACACTCACGAACTAGGATGAGGTAAAATAGCCAATAAATATAGGTCTTGAGGTGTCTAGCTATCTTAAGTTAAAAGAAATATAATGTAAGGCTAAGGCTTCAATTCCCCAAAATATGCTGAAAAATTAATGAACTGTCTTAACTTTGATGATAAAAACAAAACAAAAAGAACAAAAACAAGCCTCTTGTGAAATTTTCACAAAAGTGATCATCACCAAGTTTAGAACTTTAATTTCAAACAAAAGAATAAAAGTGTTATCTCAATGGACATACAAGATCCAGAACACAGCAATAGAAATGATCACCTTTACAGGGCACGGAGCTAACTTTTGTTATTTCCTCCAAGCCCCGAGATTCCAAAGTCTGTGGAAAATACTGCCCACTCCAGCAATTCCCCAAATCTCACAGGCATGACCCTGTTCTATGAGGAGGCGTTCTGAGAACCTGAGACTATGTCAGAGATGATGAAAATTTAAAAGGACATCTGCCACCAATGGAGGCAAGCCACAGATAGCATCTGCCAAGGCTATATCAACCAAATAATAACTTTGTTTTTTAATCTCTAAAAAGTATATTTTAGCAAAATGCTTATCTGCTTTAGAACACAATAGTATACAAACTGCAAAAGCAAATTCCAAGCTCATTAGTGTGGCATTCACCAAAATTTGGCCCATGTTTTGTAAAGACTCAAATTCTGGCGTCATCTTGCATGCAGATGGATGGGGCATCAAGGAGAGCACCGACAGTGTTTCACACACTGTCCTCTGGATCCTGGCTCTTGCTATTGCTGTTCTAGGAGGATCCCAACTGAATGCACAGACACACGCGTGCACACACTCTCGCACACAGCTCAGCTGACACCAAAGCCTCCTCCTCTGAAAGCATACTGAACACGGAGTCTACCCGAGAATGGAACCTGTGTAAAGGACGACACTATTTTTCTATTCAGGTACAGTACTTGACTCTGCTTAGAAAATAGTAGACCTAATAACATAATCATCAAACTACAACAATTGATTCTCAATAAATTTGAAAAAAAAAATGGCTCTCACCTCAAGCTGGTTAAAGCAGAAAACCTGGCATTTCACACTACTTAGCTGAGAAGAAAATGTAGCAGTCTGGCTGCCAACATGATAACAAAGCATTTTGGCTGAAAATCTTTAAGTAACACAAAAGTCGTAGAACAGTGTACACTTCACTGCGTTTAATTGGATCAATTAATCCTGGCCATCTGACCCGTGATCTGCATACACTCTTTACTCTTCACTCGGGCTAGAAGAGGCTTTCTTCTTACAGAGACACAACAATGTGTGGCCGTCCCATCAGCAGAGTTCTCTTCTGTAAGGTGGGCCGTGCACTGCACACACACTTGGAGCCAATCAAAAATGTACCCCATGCAGTATTCATTAACTGTAATGCATTATGTGTGTGCCGATATATCATTATGATATTAGGCTTTGGTGTGGATACATTTAGCTATGGTTGCTGAATCTAATCAGCAAGATGAGAGGTTTTGAATAACATTACTCGAAGTTCTTTAAACAGAAGTAGTTCAGAATGGAGCCTTTTCTGTATTAAATACTATAGGCGATGCTTTATGTTTTCTGGAAAATGGAAATTATTATAATCAGAAGCACTTTTGCTAAAACATTACCATTTGGAATAACCGTATTATTTCCCAGAATGCTTTAGTACCCTGGCTGAGGGACTCTGGGTAAACAACAATCTCTAAGTTAGACTCATGCTGTTTCCAGAATGCAGTGTAAAAGACTTGGACTTCAACAGCCAAAGTTTGGGATCTATTGTTTTCTTAAAATCAGTATTGACAAAAATCTGTGTGATACATTGGCACTTTCCAGAGCTACATTATATTTGTCCTAAATTAAATGACTGACCACAGTCAACAGTGTACAAAAAATATAAAGGTATATGCCAGCTCCTTCCTTCTCCCCCACCTCTCTGCCCAATTCCTTTTTTATTTCCTTTTCAGTGTCTCCTGGGGTAGCTCAGGCTGGCTGAGCTCATCTCTCAGAATCTACAGTCATGAGTCACTATGTCCAACTGATTTAATTCTTCAAAACAATTTGTGCTGTTAAGTCCATTTGAAGGAAGAGGACCAATGCGTCCCTTGACATCTCACATCCAGTCACCATTTACACTTACCTGCTCAGGGGCTGCTTCATCAGGATGAAAAGACACACTCAGCATTGTGTCAGTTATGAAATGGACTTAACTAGTCCCCTGTGAAAGCTGACGATCCACCACTGACTGCAGAGTTACAGGAAGTACTAATCACACCCAATACCTAGGAACCCAGTTTTCCTAAAGACAGTCAAGGATAAAACACAAGTTGATAGAATGTGGGAGTAACTCAAGGCAGCAACTGTCCAGAGGACACTTTAGCCTGTAACAGCCCTGTTCTGAACATACTGTGGCCATAGCTGAAATCGCTTTCCCCTCCCCGTTAGAGCCTTGTAAACTGTAACTGTGAACCTGACTGCAATTGTAAAGTCATCCTGGCGTCAACTGAACTAATGATGCATATTCTACAAAAGTAAGTGCTTTTAACTAGTTGATACATTTCTAATCCTCAGCCAAGAGCTCATGACCAGTATTTTCATTTTATGTTTAAACTATTAGTTTGTGGCAGCTGCTGTGAATTCAACACAGGCAACACCATTCTATAATTCAATCTGTACTATGATACTTGAGACAAAGATGGAACACATGTTTTACAGGGGGAAAATAACATTGGAGAATTCGACTTACTTTTTTAATAGCAGTTTTATAGAAATTCTCATATGCCATTCAGTTCATTCATTTAAAGTGAGTAATTCAGCCCCAAGGCTGTACTCTCACAGTTAATTCTAGAAATCCTCATCACCTCTAAAGCAGTCCAGGACCTCTAGCCACTGCCTGCTAACACTTAGTAATTACTCTGCCCCCCTCAAAGCCCTGGACAGTCAGAATCTAGTTTACTGGTCTGCTTGTCTGAAAAAAATATAAAAATTTAACATAATCATGTATAAGCGACATTTTTTGACTAGCTTCATATTGTGTTTCCAAGACAGTATCCACATAGTATGTATCGCTAAGCATAAAAGTATGGTCCAATTAAAGCAACTAAAATTATTGGGATTGGATTTTATAATTCAGATTTAACAAGTCATGCATGACACAAACATATACCTAAACACAGTACATAACAAACAATGCTGACATAATTTGATGTTTCTGACAATTAAAATAAAATATAGCATATAAGCATGATTCACAAACACATTTTATTTATCTTAAAGAATAATGTTAAGAATTATTTTTTTCTCTTCCTGGAAACCTGTTTCATATTTCAGAATTCTCTTGAAATGTCATCTCCTCTGTGAAACCTTGTTTGAGTCTTCCCAACTCCCACCACCCTGGACGCGTGCTGCGCTTCTCTCATACAGTGGGATTTCTGTTAGTAAAATGTATGTATGTACATACTGCAATGATGTACTACTGCAATGGAAGCTTTCATATCACGCAGGAAGCTCCTTGACATCAAGGGCAGTGCCGTATATATTTTTAATAACTAGTAATGCAGAACACGAACACTGTAGGTTAATCCCTCCCCCCCCCACACACACATACACATTGGGGATTTATCTGTAAAACCAACTTTTCCTCTGAAAACCAGGACTCAATAAAGCTAGGGCAGAGTTCCACCAGTCTAAGCACAGGATTATGAGTATATACATTAACATAGCTCAGAGCAAATCTGGCCAACTGTAGCATTAATCATAATGACCAAGGCCTAACATCTATAAAACACCTATATAAACTATGACCTTTTTACTTCATTCATGTATTTAATTTCCTGATTACATATTTCCTTTAACCCTGCAAGTCAAACTCATTAGATATGTTCTGATGCTTTGATGACTTGTATAAAATATTGTGTGGTTTTGGGGTTTCAGAGTAATTTCATTTTTTAACATATTTTTATAAGCAACATGCTAAGGTGTTGGGGCTAGGGCAATGATCAATACATACAACTTTTGCTTTACTTGAACTTAAATGTCCAAGAGAGATAAATGGAAAGAACAAAATAACTTGAATGCTATAACAGTCAAGGTACTGTGGAGTGAATAGAAGATTCATAATAGAAATGATAGGTAATCTAAGATCAGAAAGATAAAGTCTTGAACAGGACAAGATAGGGAGACCGCAAAAGGAAGAAGTAGACTAATGTGATAATAATAGAACTAGAGGTAACGGAGGTCTGAATTAGGGTAGCTGTAGTTGAAAATTAAAAGAAACACATGCATTTAAGAGGCATTTAAGAAATAAGATCTGAAAACTCAGTGCCTCTTTCAATGAGAAATGTGTGAGATACAAGGTATTAGGAATGAAAGACAAGCATCAGGCTTGGGAAAACGATGAGCAGGGCCAGTCACTGAGATAGGATGAGGGTGAAGGAAGAGGTCTTGGGTTGTCTTAGTTAGGTTTCTATTGCTTTGGTGAAACCATGACCAAAAACCAAGTTGGGGAGGAAAAGGTATATTTGGCTTATGTTTCCATATCACTGTTTATCATCGAAGGAAGTCAGGACAGGAACTCAAACAGCAGGAACCTGGAGGCAGAAGCTGATGTGAAGGCCATGGAGGGGTGCTGCTTACTGGCTTGTTCATCATGGCTAGCTCAGCCTGCTTTCTTATAGCACCCAGGACCTTCAGCCTAGGGATGTCACCACCCACAATGGGCTGGGCCCTCCTCCATCAATCACTAATAAAGAAAATGCCCTACAGGCCTGCTACAGTCCAATCTTATGGAGGCATTTTCTTAATTGAGGTTCCTTCCTCTCGGAAGACTTTAGCTTGTGTCGAGTTGACATAAAACCATCCATTACAGGGATGGAACAGAGTAGGAACCATGAGTTCAGTTTAATACATATTGATTTGGAAGTGTCTTTGGATAATCAAGTAGAAAAAAAAACCATCAAGCTATTAAATATATGAATTTATTAAGGTTAGAGACTTGGGGTGTAGATAAACTTCAAGGCCTAAGGACAGGGAGCAAGTTAAGAATTCTAGCTAAAGGACTACAGGGTAGTTCCCAAGGATAATACTTGGAGAAAACCAAGAATAAATACTGAAGGCACACCAACCATGAAGGGAATGCCTCGAGGGGTGGATGGAAACCAGAAAAGGACTATCACGGCTCCTGGAGAGTTACAAGAGCTATGATTAGGACAGCAACAGCTCCCAGTAATCCAACTGAGACAAGGAGTGGTACATTTTTATTCTAGAGTCAAGAAGGGGAGGTTACTGACACCGAGAGTGTAGAGAGGAGCCAAGCCCAGTATGCCCAGAAGAGGGCAATATGGAGCAAGGTCGTTCAGTGACCAGGAGCTGGTCTGCTATAACCCAGGTGCTGCATCAGAAAGACTATCAGTTTTCTAAAATGAAGGCTTCCTGGGACACAGCCACACTGGCTACGGCTGCTTCTTTATTACAGTCACTGGACTGGGCATTCGGCAAGCCTGACCTATTTATGATCTGGCTTTTAATGCAAGTTTGCTAATCACTTTTGCCACTAATGTCTTAAATTATTAGTTCTATTTACCAAGTGACCTAACGAGCACTCGCCTTCCTTACTGCATTCACGCTGCCTGTTAAAAGGACATGTTGCTTGTATGTCAACGAGTAAGTGAAATCTGAATGAACAGTGTAATTGCTCATTTCAAAGTTGAAATGTCAGCCCTTCACTGTCATCCGACACATCTCTGGTTTATAGAAAAGGCTGATGACAGTTTCAGAGGCTTGGGACAAACAGAACCCACCACCCAGCAGCTCATATTTATATGAATTTCACAAATGTCAGTAATGACTCATATAAACTTCATGAATTAATGCAATTTTAATGTTGACATGTTAAAAAAGACATGTTAAGAAAGTATGTTCCCAAGGTTTTTTTTTTCTCTTTTTAACAGCTTATTAGTAATAGGGCTTTGGAGCTTTTTTTTTCAAACCACTAGTGGTTAGTTCCAAGTATTTTATTTCATGTATTCACATGACGTCAACAGAAATGTATCTGAGTATGATTTTAGGAACTTCAGTTTCTCTAAAGAAGGAAGAAGCCAGAGGTGGCTGGGAAACATTCCGGCCGGCTGTTCTCCTGCTTATTCCATGTGGCCTCGCTGGAATGACTCCTGGCGTAACAAAGCCTTACATTTGGCTTAATGCTTTGTATCTGTTACTGATTAGAGAGGCTAAGTGCCTTTTGAGTTCAGTCATTAATATTAATGAATTTCGTGACCCAGGCCAACTTAGTAAAACAAACTTTAAACTACCCTGCTAAGAAGTTCTCAATAATTTGGAACTCAAAATTGCCTGTTAGAGCGCTGGAAAAAAAACAAAGGCATTTCCTACCTGGATGTGGGAAAATGACAAAATGGTGAGAGCATTTCTCCAACACATCGCTTTGTGAATGTGGGTCACATATGGCTGCTTCGCAATCATAGGCTAATGGAAGAGGGAATTAAGACGGAACAGTCCCCCAAAGGCTTGAGGACAATGTAAATATAAGTTAATTCTGGCTGCAGTGTGGCTCAGTTGGTAAAGTGTTGGCTAAGCCCTGTACAGCCTGGGATTGAAAGTGTAGAACAGGGGGAACAATGAAGAAGATAAATCAACATTCCTCACCTCCCCCCCAAAATCTAGGCAAAACCTGTTCAGTTCCAGAGTAGTAAGAAGTGATTTTTACTTGTAAATTAGCTCAGAGTTAGCAAATATAAAACTGTAAGATTTCTGGGATATATTCTAATAGTTGTGAAAAATATGTGCGCCATGTAGTTGGAGGAAAAGTTAAAAGTTTTGTAAAAAACAGAATGCTAAAAACAAATGTCGGAGGGCATTTCATAAATATGATCATGATATCAGGATTACTTTTTGTTTGTTTGTTTTTTGAGACAGGGTCTCTCTATGTAGTCCCGGCTGACCTGGAACATACAGAGATCCTCCTGCCTCTGTCTCCTGAGTGCTGGTATTAAAGGTATGCACCACTATACCTTACCAAAATTGTCTTTTTTTAATAGTATTATTTTTAGAGGGGAAAGGGCCAACCTGCAGAATACTCTACTCTAAGCAGAAGCGTAAAGAGTTAGTCTCTTTTCTCATGCAAGGTTATTTCAGGTTCAAATCACAACTAGCTATTTTTTAACTTCTCATGAGCACAGATCAGCAAAAAAGTGAAGATTAATGCTTTAAAAATATTCATAAATAAATGTCTGAAATGGACTGAGTCTATAAAACTCATTTCAGTGGGGACTGAATGCAGAAATTAAGCTATAGTATTTGTTAATATTCTGACTCGTCCCTTGGGGCCGCTCTGCATCCTGACATAAAGAAAAACCCTCTTCTTCCTCTCTCTCTTCCATGCTCTCTCTCTCTCCACTCCCACGAGGTGTGCACCCCTCGACCCCCCCCTCTCTTTCTTCTCTCCCTCTTCCCTGTCTTCTCTTCGTCTCTTTACTATAACCAACCATTTCCGCATGGATGCAGCATCTGGGTTGTGAATGTTCACCTGCCGTGCCCGCATGGTGTGGATTGCCAGCCAGCCCTTCGCTGTATCTGCCCAGCATGCCAGCATGTTCCCCTGTACATGCAGGATACCCTCGGGGTCCCCCATTCATAATTCATAACAGTATTGATATTAACGGCATCTTAAAAACCTTTTTAACACAAGAAAACAAGATGAAATGTCAACTGCCCTCAACTCAGGCTTTAACAGAGACTTAGGGATATAACTTTTTCATAGTGGGCTGTATGACTGCATGTCATTTTTTTCAGAGTATAAACTTACCTCAAAAATCAGACAATATCTTGGAACACAAGAATCAACCATATTTTACATTTAGATGACACAGTTTTTACGGAGCTTAAGATAATCTGCAGGATCTACCAGAAATGATCTCTCTCCATCAAACTCCAGCCCCGAGACATAAATAAAGGAAGGTAAGTGACAAGTTAGCCACAGGACACCGTGTGCAAGCCTGTCTTTACAGGAGACGACAGTGCTGTCTCCATATAAAACACACAGAGCTCAGCACGGCACACACTTCTAGTCTAAAATGAAGCCTGGCCTTGTCCTTTCTCTGGGTCGGAATTAACAGTTTCTTGGACTCCGATAAGTGAGGTGAGAGAAGAGTTGGAAAAAGTAAAATCTTTGCACACTGAGTGCTATTTTGCAGGTCATGATAATGTCAGGTGCTGTGAAATAAAACACCAGATTACAGACCTTACCAGATGAACTTCCCTTTAACAGTCATTTTGGCAATTACTAAAGAGATCGACCTAGTATATCACATAGAACCACTGCTCCATACAGATATTCAAAATTTGACCTCAAGTATATTAGGGTGAACTTGTAGAAGAAAATCCTTTTTTGTTCTCCAAGCAGCTCATCTCGTACTTTCTTCACCAGAAGTCCTCTCAGGAGAACACATATCTGTGCAGGGAGACCTGGGTGGGCCTCACACAGCAAGAGCACACTGGAGTCAGGCACGATTTTGCCTTGAATTAGGTTCACATTGTGAATAAAGCCCACTTCTCTCTAATTCTTCCCAGGAAGTGTGATGTCCTCTAATTCAAATGTATCTTTTTTTTTCTTCAAGACAGGGTTTCTCTGTGTAGCTTTGGAGACTGTCCTCGAACACGCTTGTAGACCAGGCTGACCTGGAACTCACAGAGATCCACCTGCCTCTGCCTCCGAGTGCTAGGTATATACAGTATTCTGCCTGCATGTATCCCTGCACGCCAGAAGAGGGCACCAGAGCTCATTATAGATGGTTGTGAGCCACCATGTGGAAGCTGGGAATTGAACTCAGGACCTCTGGAAGAACAGCCAGTGCTCTTAACCGCTGAGCCATATCTCTCCAGTCTCAAATATAACTTAATATTTAATTAATGTTAACTAAGAAAAGTTTTTGGAACAAAATATGAACTAATCATTTTCTAAAATACCTGTGTGTGTATATATAAGCAAAAATTTGTTTATATATTACTGACATATTAAGAGAGTCTAAGCAAGCTCAATTTTTTGTTTGTTTGTTTTTCAAGACAGCGTTTTTCCTTGTGCCCAGGCTGTCCTGGAACTCACTCTGTAGACCAGGCCTTGAACTCACTGAGATCCACCTGCCTCTGCCTTCCAAACTTGTGCTACCACCACCCGGCTTCACAGCAAGTATTTTTTTTTTTTGAAACAGGGTTTCCCACAGAAAATTTTAATCATGACAATATTAAACCAACAGCAAAAATGTTTTAAATAATTTTAAAACATATTTAGTTATGAGAACATCAAACCTACTTCAAACTTTCCCCTTTCTACATTAACTGTTTCTGCTGATGACTAAAGTTAATTTCCAGAGCACTGTTTTCAAATATTTCACTTTTTAAAATGGAGAAATGGTCCCCAATAATACTTATTTACATTAGCCATTTTAAATGTAAGGCTGAAAAATATGAGAGAAGACCTGCCAGCCATTGTGCAACTGGGCCCAGCCTGGATCATGAATCGTTACAGAGAGGACTAACAAGGTCATAAAATGCTTTATTTTGTTCCTAAAACACAAAGAATAAAAAGCTTATTTTAGAAGAAAACATTTGGGAATTCAAAGACTTGCCAGCCACCACTTAGACAACAATCTAATTTATAGTGGGTACATTTATACATTTTACAATAATTAATGTACTTGAAAAAACCTAGTGCTACAAGATCAAGAGCAAGACAGAGATATTCACTTTCTCATTCCCTCCTAAGACAGTAATAGATGTTTGAGCAAGGACACATGAGCAACTACAAGAAATAAAGTATATCCCAATTGTACAGAAAGAAGAATCAAATAAGCCATGTTTGTAAATGGCACAATTCTCTAACAGAAGAAATGAAATATTTCATGACCAAATTGTTAGAACTTATAAAGGAATGCAGTACAGCCGCAGAATACAAAATCAGGCTACAGAAAGCTACAGCATTTTCATACACCAATAATGAAGTTGCTAAGAAAAAATTAAGAAAGCAAAAGTTAAAATATTTAGAAAAAAAGAACATAGAAAATGAAAGATATCTACAAAAAAATTACAAAACACTAATGAATAAAGTGATAAAGGATGCACACAGAAATGGGAAGATATTGTATGCTCATGGGTTAGAACAGTCAACAATACCCAACACAATCCATAGAGCCAATGTAATTCCTTTCTAATTACAAACAGCTTTCTAAGTAAAAAGAGAGGAGATTCCTAGAACCATATGGTACCAAGAGAGACCCAGAAAAGTTAAAGCAATGCTGAAGAGAGAGAAAGAAATCACTCCAGGGTGTGTGTGGGGTGGGGTGCTATGACCTAACTTTAAAACAGCACGTCACCAGTACGAAAGAGAAGCAAAGGCCAGCGCAAAAGAGAACTCAGAAATTAACTCAGGTTCATACAGCCATTAATTTTTGACAAAAGACCTCAAAAATGTACTATTAGGAAGTTTCATCAATAAATGCTGCTGGCCGTGTTGGATATCCAGAAATATGAAAGCAGATTCCGTTCTCTCAGAATACACAAAATACATCTCAAAACGTTACATATGAAATTACCGAACAAAATATAGTTGCCACTTTCCCAGATTTTAGCAATGTTTATTAGATGGGAGCCTAAAGGCACAAAAGGAAGAGGAGATAAATAGAACTGTATCAAATTACAAAGATTTTACACAGCCAAGAAAAGAATCAACACAGAGATAACTTATACAACAGGAGAAAATATCCGCAAACCATTCATCCAACAAGGGATAGATATTCAAAAATATACATGGGACTAAAACACCTGAAGACAACGAAACAAACGATCCGATTAAAGAGTGAGCCAAGGAAATGAACGGGTGCTTTAAAGAAGGCAGACGAGCTGCTAACAAATACTCGAAAAGTGCCCGGCCTCCCCACCCAAAAAGAACGCCACATAAAAGCATAATGGGATAGCCTTTCATCACAGTTGGCGTGGTTATTATATCTGGATACACATTTCATACACACATCTATACATTTTACACACATAGGTATACTTATATATGAAAATAAAACCATGAAAGATAGTGAGTGGGTGGAGAACAGGGGGAGGCGAGGAAGGAGAGATACGGGACAGCAGGATGCCTGCTGGTTCTTCAGTTGCAATGGGGTAACTCCCGGATAAATTAATGGGGTACTTAAAAAGTGACTTAAAGAGTACAAAATTAGCAACAAATAAAGATGACTGGTGGTTGAGTAGACAGAAATTCTTATTATCCAGATCTGATTACTATGCATTGTACACATGCTCTAAATTACCATGATGTATACCCCAGAGGGATGTTCAAATACTATACTTCAATAAAAAAAAAATGCTGGCCCTAAATCCAATCTTTAATTCTTAAAAAAATCCTGTATGCTAATTGCTAATGATAAAAACTAGCTGTTAATAATGTCCTCTTATAGTTCTGGGAATTAAAAATTAAAGAAAATAAAGACATACATCTTCTCTAAATTCTCTTAGGTCTAACCCTGAGTATTCTTTCAATTTAATTTAGAAGTGCAGTATAAATTCGTCTACAATATGTATTCGATTTTCACTTTGATAAAACTATATTAACTGATACTGGGACAGTATGCAAGGAATGTGGAAAAAATTTTAACATCATGGCCAACTTTGAGTCAACTGAATGTAAAAACAACTGGGCCCAAACAGAAAGAGATGAACGGAACTACTGGTCAGGAGAACACAGCATCTAGAGATTTAAAGTACGGGCTCTTAGGTCCAAATGCTTGTGTGCGAGTTCTCGCTCCACCATTTGCTAGCTGCTTGGCCTTACACAAAGTCATTAATGTTTTTTTCATAATAGTAAATGTTATAAATTAAGTAGTCAAGAACTCGTAGTTGGTATAACTAGAAAACTAGAGGAAGCAGAGTAATTACAAAGCCCAGACGCTGAGAACAGTGGGTCAGCAGCACCAGAGGCTGAAGGCAGTCATGTAGAGCAGATCTCCCATGTCCACAGCATGCTGAGATCGGTGACTGCTTTTTCCCCATGGTAGAGTGCACAGCATCTTCCGGCACCATGAGAGCCAGCCAGTGGGGATGAAGCTTTCAGATCAGCACCCATTTGACTTTTCCATGTTCACAACTCAAGCGAGTGGTGTCTGACCATCAAGTTCTGGAGGGTAACCAAGATCAGTATTTGGAAGTCTGTAGGAACCCACTGGCCAGCAGCTCAAGAAGAGGTAGCATGTTCCTGGTACTAGAGTTTTGTTTATTTGGTAGCATGAGGTAGGTATAGAGTTGGGGTACTGTCCCCAGTCCTCACAGTGACTGTGACAACATGCAGAAGAGCTGCACAGGCTCAAGCCAGACAAATGCCAGCACGGAAGGGGGCGTCGAACATGAAGTCCTATCCCAACTGGGGCACTGCTGGCATTCGACAGTTGCTAGGAGACGAAGAGTCAGTTTTCGGACACATCATAGGCCAACCATGCTGGAGATCAGCCACCACACCCGTGAGGAACTGGGCAGCACAGACTGGACTCTGCGGGGACGGGGAGGGGAGGGGGAGCAAACACGTGAAGATCAGCCCCCACACCCATGAGGAACTGGGCAGCACAGACTGGACTCGATGGGGATGGGGGGGGAGGGGGGAGGGGGAGGGGAGGGGGGGCAAACAGGAACAAACACGTGAAGGTGGACGCACAGTTGAGGGGTGCATCTGGGAGGAGCTGAGGAAGTAGGGTGGATATGATCAAAAGACAACATGTGAAACTCTCAAAGAAACAATAAAAATACTATTTTTAAAAAGTTTTAGAACAGAAACAGGCACACTAAAGCCACTAGTTAAATCCAAAGGAAGAAAATTAAGTTGGTAAGTGTGATGGCTGCTCTTGGTTATCAACTTGACTACACCTGGAATTAACTAAAAACCCAAGTGGCTGGGTATACCTGAGGGGGTTTTCTTGATTAATTATTTGAAGTAGAAAGGCTCACCCTAAATCCTGATCTTTTGAGGTGGTTTCAAAGACCCACCTTAAATCTGGGCCCCACCTTCTGGTGGCAGCCTCTCTAAATGACGTGGAAGAAGGAAGGTCTTGCTCTTTGCCTGCTTGCCCTCGCTCTCACTGGCAAGTCCATTCCTTCACTGGCAAAAGAGCCTACTTCTTCAGGATCCCAGAGTAGACTAGAATAGACTGGAATATAGGAGCAGCTGAGACATCCAGCCTCACGGACTGAACAACTGCTACATTCTTGGACTTTCCATCTGGAGACAGCCACTGTTGGAATAGTCAGCACATAACCTGTTAGCCACTCTAATATATCCCATCTCTCTCTCTCTCTCTCTCTCTCTCTCTCTCTCTCTCTCTCTCTCTCTCTCTCTCTCACACACACACACACACACACACACACACTATATCTATCATCTATCTGTCTATCTACCTTTATGTATATATGTATCTATATAGATGATTTAGATATAGATAGATTCATTTTATCAGTTCTGTTTCTCTAGAGAACCCTGACCAATACAGTAAGTGATGATAAAAGTCAGATAACAAGAAGTTAGTTGGGACTGGCGAAGCTTGGTTGACAGACATGAAGGAAACAAGATATCTGCACCCACACAAGAAGTGCAAAATAAGATGAGAAAACAGAATAAGGGAAGTAAGAGACAGTTGTTAGATATTCGAACCAATTTTCATACCAACCAGGCGAATGTCAAATGAAGTCACTGCTGTGAAAGCTGTTGTCATGGGGGTGTACTTTGGGGGATACCAGCTGTAAACTATATCATCAAATTGGTAAGAGTTTTTCTATAAGCCATAAGAATGCTCGTGCACATCAAGTGTTCCTCACTAGACCATAAGAAGGATCACCAATACCCACCAGAAAGACCTCCAAATATCCTAGCAAGATCAGTTAACACCTTGAAAAGAAACAGCAATCACCATTATGATTTTTCACATTTAGAAATCCATGGGCGGCACCTATGATTTCTAATTGCATCCAGGTTTTCTGTTCAATGAACAGGTTTTGAACATTTTAATCAACTTCCTTTTAATCAAAACTAGTCAGACCGGCAAATGAGACAGCACTGAAATTTGTAATTCAGTATGGTAGTTTTCTTTAAAACTGTGTTTTAAAATCAGTTTTCGATGCAGGTGTGCTTTTAAAATTAACAAGTTTTCACAAGCTACTTATTTTTTTAAGTAGGAACTGGCTTTATTAGAAAAAAGAAAAAGTTAAAAAATTGTTACTTATCATAAAGGAGTACACGAACAAAAACAAGCTTACCAACATACTAATATCAATTTTTCAAAAGGAGAGCATGTGGTTTCACATATTTTCCTTAATTTTAGATGGGTTTAATGAAAAACTAAACGATCACTTCATAAAATACCTGAGCTATGTAAATGAAACCTTTCCATATTCTCTTCTAAACACTTATTAGCAAACTTTGTTTCAAAATATAATTATAAAAAAATAGGACAAAGTCAATCCCAAGGCCTAATTTTGAACTGCAATGTTTCTAAAAATGTATTTAATTAAAATATGTTTTAAGTAACTCTCTGTCCATTCAAGCAGACAGTTACCTTACTCATGGGACTTCAGCTCTGCATGACTATTAATATAACATCGACTGCTTTGGCTTATATTTGTTTATGTTTAGTGTGTGTCGGTCGGTGTGCATGTGAGTGGGTACTCTCATGCTAAAGCCCATGTGTGCACCCCAGAGGACAGCTTGTAGGAATGGGTTTCCCATTTTACCATACCGGATCTACAGCTCGAACTCAGGCCATCAGACTGGGTGGCATGAGTCTCCTGGCTAGCCCAACATCTGATTTGATTTTGACTGAATCTTGCCGAGACAAAGCAAAGAAATCTTTCCTAATCTATCAAAATAAATAATTCTTTTACAATTTTGGTATTGGAAAATTAAACTTACCAATACAATGCTGCCATGCCATGAGGCTTTTGAAAATAACATATTTAGTAAAATGGGTCACTGAATACTTAATATATCAAGAAAGTTATTAACAAGAAATAAAGATACCACTTAAGCAATTTCTTCTTAAACAGAATGACCAATAATAAACACTGTCCAATAAATTTTGCTAAAATAATTGGTTTCAATTTCTTTTCCTGGGGGGAAAAATGAAGTCATAACAGAAATGAATTCTGCATAATGACCTTTATAATAAGTAAAACAGCACATTTTTGTCATTTTCAAATATATTTCTAAGATTCCATTAAAATGATTTCATCATCTTTTTGGCCTCTCTTAATTTCAAACTGTGCTTTTACATCTTACTTTAAAAGAAAATGGATTATAGTGGGGATGAGGGCACATTTCACCTCTTCACTTTCCCTTCAAAGTCAAAACAGTATAATTTAAAAAGGAAGTTGGAAGTAGGGGCACAACATCTTTAATCTCAGCCCTTGGGAGGCAGAGGCAGGCGGATTTCTCTGAATTCAAGGCCAGCCTGGTCTACATAGTAAGCTCTACAACAGCCAAGGCTACATTGTGGGACCCTGTATTAAATGAAAAGAGAGAGAAAGAGAGGGGGAGGGAGGGAGGGAGGAGAGAGAGAGAAAGAAAATAAAGCGTATTGGTGCTGGGGGTGTAGCTCAGTTGGCAGACTCCTCCCCTAGCATTCACAAAGTCCTGGGTTCCAACCCCAGCACCACATAAAACAAAGTAGCCCACATCTGTCATCACAGCACTTGGTGAAGACAGGAGAATAAAAAGTTCAAGATCATACTCAACTACAGAGCAAATTCAAGGCCAGCCTGAGACACGAGAACCTGTCTCAGAAAGTATTAATCATGGAAGAACATAAGACAGAACACTACATCAAATCAGATAATTTGAGGAAACTCTGTAAACTAAGAATCAAGAGATTTGGATACATTAAAACCACAATCAGAAAAAAACAAAACAAAACAAAACCACAATCAGTTCATAGAATACTGCAGTTATAACAAGCAAGGGAGACTGGGCTGTAGAACGTTCATGATCGATCAGTAAAAGCAGGTCTACACTGTTTATTCAAACATGATTTCTGACAATGGGGAGATCTGAATAGGGAGCAGGATTACAGACAGAGAAGGCTGGTACTAACCAGCAGGAAGGGAACTCAACCTCAGTGGTCCACAGTGAAGCTCACCACTCAGTCAGGCCCACTCCTGCACTGCAGGGGTTGGATGGAGACTTCTCTGAGGAGAATCTAAAACCCCATGAAGTAAAGAAGGATTCTTATCTGGGTTAAGGCCTAAATCATCTCTAGCGTAAAATGGCTGCTAAGTGTAGGCCCTCAATTACACAGAGTAACAACAAAGGGTCGCCAGCCTTTGAGGAAAGCCTCACAAGAAAGCCACCAAACCTGAAAAATTAAAGAAATAACATGCAGGCTACATAAAAATAAAACAACAAAAGAAAACCCTAAATAGAGATGTCAATCTCTGTGAACTTTAAAAAGATAGCTCAAAAGCAATAAAAAAGAACAGGCTGTTTTGAAAAAGCTCAAAAATATTAAAAGTAGAACTGACAAAATTATACCTAAAAACACGGGTTGAAAATGAAAAAGAACTACTAAGTATCTAACTGTTGAGCAAGCAGATAAAAGCAAGAGATTCTCCAGAACCCACTGAAAAAAAATGATAAGGAAGAAAAATGAAGGATCGATTTAGAAGTTCAGATTCACCTAGAAAAAGAGATAGATAATTGGTGGAAAAAATAACCACAGAAAAAGAAAATTTCCCTTATCTAAAGATAGCTTAGGCCTTTTCATAATGAGGAGGATGTGGGGACAGATTCAGTAATCACATCCCAGGCTAACAGTAAAGTAACTTCAGGGAAGCTGCCCAACACAGTGAGCTTTGTTTTTTATGTTACAGCCAAATCTGAAACAGTTTACCAAGGCTGCAAAGACACTACAACTGTTCCAAAGTGGAATTCAATTCTTCTAATGACTATGTCATCACCTCCAAAAACTAACGCCCAGCTAGCTCAAGTCACAGGAAACTGGAGGTTTAAATAATCCCAGGAAACCTATTTCCTTCCCCAACGACTTAAAAAACAATTAATACCAAGCTGCCCTTTAACACTGTTTGCCTTTTGACTGTACACTAATATAGATTTTTTTTTAAAAAAAAGTCATTAGATTTAATTTTGAGATAAGGGAAAATGCTACAATTTAAGAGATAATTATGTAAGAACCAAAAAATATCCTCCATTTCTTCTGTTTCCTTTACCATGCCCCCTCCCCACACCCGGTGATGAACAGGTATAAGGTAAAATAAACAAATGGGAACGTAAGTGGAGAGTTTCCTCTAGGAAAGAGTGTGTTAATTGTAAGACCCCACTGTAAACGATCCACATTGATAACTGCTGATCTCACACCATGGAGATCTCAGAAAGGCAGGGAAAGTATGGACAACATCCTTGGGTCATAGTGGGAAATTAACCAGAAACCAGAAACTCATGTTCTGGAAAATAAGACTGTGGTGGTTTGAAAAAAAATGGCCCCTAAAAGCAAT